TTTTATATTTTAAAAAATTTTTCTTATTTGAGTGACAGGAAAAGAGAGATATCTGTTATCTACTGGTTCACTCCAAAATGCCTGCAACAGCCGGGGCTGAGGCTGGGCCAAGCCAAAGCTGAGAGCCAAGAACTCAATCCAGATCTCCACATGGGTGGCGGGGACCCAACTACTTGAGCCATCACCTGCTGCCTCCCATGGTGCTGACTAGAATGCAGCTGGCATGGAAAGCAGAACTGAGACTTGAATCCAGACCCTCTGATAAAGGATGTGGGCATCCAAAGGGCATCTTAACCACTTTAAATATGCCAAACACTCACCCTTGATTTATTTTAAATTAAAAAGATAGGAAGAGAATATATTTTATTTAAATAAAACTGGTTTCAAACCACAAACTACAAAAGTAGCCCATTATGTTTCAAATCATCATTGTATCCTGGTGGGAAAAAAGCAGGCTGAAGAATTTTTGGAAATTACAAAAAAGGAAGGGGGACTTAACTGAAGTTTCAATTGTAAAGTGGAAGAGATTAAAATAGATAATAGTGTTAAGAGGACTAGCATGGTGCTGTAAGGGGACAAAACTTTACTCTCACTACCTCTCAGGGTCTCCAGCTGGGCCCGAGACTCCAATTTCCATGAGTTAGGAGCCACAGAGGAGCACACAGATTGTCCTAAGTCCATGGAGGCTCCCATGAAAGATCTAGGTTTGGCCTGGCCTACCCCCAGCTGTTGAGGGAATTTGGGGAGTGAACCAATAGATGCAAAATCTGTCTCTAACTCTCTGTAGGCCCTATCTCTCTTTTTCTCAACCTCTCTCTCTCTCTCTCACTTTCAAATAAATTAAGTGGTGAGGCCCAAGTGTTTATATACTAGATTAGACAAAGACAGAAAGGCAAGTATGGAAAAGTAAACTAGATGGGGAGAGTAACTGAAGGTGAAAGTTATTTTAAGAAGGTCTGATATGTTTCTCTTGACCTGACTTCCCATTTTTGGCTTTGATCAGAATGTTTCTTCCGGAGTAGGGAGGGCATCTTTTACATAGGAGTTATATTTTCTGTTTCAGGAAGGAAAGGAGAATCTGGAATGCCCTTCTTGTTTTGCAAAATCACCCTCTGAGGCATTTTTAAGTGACTTTAGCTCAGAATGTGAGTCAGTTAGCTCATACTCCCTATTTTGGGGTGGCATATTTTGTGACACTTCAGTGCACAGTACAAGTGCTCAGTGGATGTTCGTGAGTGTGTGTATAATTATGTGTGTACAATGCGCACACACACTTACACTGGGCATCTTTTGAGCCTTCACCATAAGCAAGAAGTTGGATTTGAACTTGGGTTTCACCCAGGACCAACATTTCCATTCTTCACAAGCCCACTTGGCCTCATGGTACTAGCTGTGAGGAGTCTCAAGGCAGAGACCGTTAGAGCAATAAGCTGTGGATCTTGATCACTACAGCAAGAGAGCAGAGAGTGCTTTGGTGTTGTTGAAAGGTCTACTCTCTGCCTCCATTCGAAGCAACTAATTTCCATTTCCAAACCCTTCTCCAGGGTAACCCATGTCTCACAAAGCAGCTCATTGGTCTTAGGTAATGATTGCACAGCACTCTGGAAACCGGAGTCTGACTGCTATGTAAGGCAATAAACCCATAACTGATCTTGGGCTGTTGGGCAGAATGGAAAATGGAACAGTCAAGCATACCAGCTATAAAAAGCAGTAAAACATAAACAAAAGCTCTGAATCCTGACTGTGCTGCAAGTAGGCGTTGGTTGATTTTTCCAGGGCAAGGAGTTTTACAAAGGCAGCCTGATGCAGCTGTTTTTTTTCCCTTTGTGTTGTAAAACAGGAATTTTGCAGCCTTTTGAAACTCTGAGTTCTATGTTGAAAATATTCTTTTTCCTTCTCCTTAATGATGAAAAAAAAAAATCCTTTTGTGGAGAGAGAGAGAGAGACAGAAAATGTTGGTCTTGTAGGGCAACAGGACCTTTTCAGACACTCCCAATTTGTGGTAACTGTATGGAACAATTCCTGGTGGATCTTTTTATCCGACCCTGGCTGGTGGTGGGTGTGGCAGGGATGTTTTCTAACCTGGTTAACTAGGTGAGGACCTTGAACTTTAATGATGGTAAGAGCTGAAATGCAGATGGAGCTCATAACATAGCAGGTCCTTGATATGAACTGAAACCTCAGGTGCTGGGCCATCGGGTTTAGGGCTAAGCTGCAAGCAGGGTCCCCTCAGGGCTGGTGTCCTGATCTGCTGCTCTCCTCTCTGCAGAGTTGAAGTGACCATTGTGGCCATGTGGCAGGAGGAGTGTGGATGTCTTAGATGTACCTTTTGGGCAGAGCCCATTCCTGAAGTTTTACATTTCTGACACTGCGCTTCAGGTTTGCAGTGTTTTCTGTTGGTTTACTCATTAATCTTTCTGTGCCTCATTATTCTCAATTTTAAAAGGAGAACAACAATAGCTGCTTAGTTAATTGTTCCAAGGATTTGACTTAATAATATCTAGCGGACCCTCAATCAATAATCAATAATCAACCAATATATGTCAATTTAGCCTCACAATAGCTGTATTGGAAATGAGCATCTTGGTTTCTCTACATATAAATGAGAGAAAGGCAAGATATCGCATCCATCTCACACAGGTATTTAGTCAATGTTTCATTACTACAATGAAACAATGGAGGCTGGCTAACTTTGTAAAGAACAGAGGTTGATTTGGGCTCGCAGTTCTGGAAGTCAGTGGTCTAGAAGCCTCATTTGCCCATGACCTTTTTGCTGGCAGAGTCCCAAGGCACTCAGAGCATCACACTGCAAGAGACAGGGATCATGCATGTTTATGTGTCTCTCTCCTTCTGCCTATATAGTGTTCTGGATTCAAGTGCTCCACCCTAATAACAGTATCTCATCCTAATCACTTCCTAATCACTACTCACCTCATGATGAGGATTAAGCTCCACCATCTCAATACAACACAATGGGGATTAAATTTCAGCACCTGAAGCCTTGGGAGATGGGGTCCCTCAGCCTACAGGCAAGCACAGCAATGGGCATGTCTGAGTTCTCTGGAGAACCACCTGAAATATAACAAAACTACTAGCAATGAAAGACCGCGATGAAGTTAATGTTAGGATACCTGAGAAGGAAGAAGATTCACTGATTACCTAAGGAATCTGGAGACAACATGCTTCATTCTGTCAGACCACTGTTTCTTAGTTCCCACCCTCCCCTTGAATAGTTACATAGACCTGTCTCATTGGGATATTTGCACTGAGAAAACAAAAGCTATTTCTATAAAACCACAAATATGCCAGTAGATTTACATGTAAGTTTCTCAAATTTTTTCCCATCAAGCTACAACAGAGCTGGATGGAAGATAATGGAGTTCTAGTCTTTTATCCCGTACATGTGAAAATTAAGGCCAGAGAGAAAGTTACTTGCCCAGTGCACTTGCTGCTGAGCTCAGACTAGACCTGGTTCCTTTGTCTACAACCAGCTCTCAATTCCATTTCATTACTGTATAAGCTTCTACGTGCATATTTCAAACCACAACCAACAGTGAAATAGCTACGTTTCTAGTTCTTTATGTTGAATGTGTAAACTGGCATCCAGGCTGTCAAAGCTGTCCGTGAGCTTCCCAAGTCTGTATCTGGTTGAATAGGTAGCAGTCTGAGAGTGTCATGCTGCAGTGAAGGCGTGTGTGTGGGTTCATGCACTGTTCACTTCTCTGTGCCTCCTTGCCCCCGTACTGATCTGATTTAGACTTCCTTCCTTTTCTATCACTTAACACATGCTCAGTTTTCTCTTAACTAATCACTTTCTGTAACTGACTTGGATCTGAGCCTGGTAGGTAGCAGAGACTAACTCAGGGTAAGACAAAGGAAATCCCCTCTACTGGCTGATTTGATCTCACTGTACCCAAGAGGAGCAAAGGTCAGAAGAAGCGGTTTGCTGGTGGGCTGTCATTGAACATCCTATTTTTAACTGTTGGCATCTGTAACAGCATCAGACCAGCAAAGAGTGCCATGAGGGCAAGTACCAAAGCCTTGTGTATTTTTGTATTATCTTTAGAAGCTGAGACAGTGAGGTACTGTTTATTATTTAAATACCTTTCATACATAAAGTTGTGAGACTTAATTTAATCAATTAGTGTACTGGTGGTGTATTTCCTACAAATGATTTCTCCTTTGGAGAAAATTCATATAATACTGAGAAAGTGAAGTTTTCCCCATTTCTGCCTCCTTCCCTAGAAAAAACTGTGTTGCTTCTTTCACTTTCATGACTTTTTTCTATGCACCAAACAGTAACTCTGCACCTAGAAATATAAGTATTTCTTGTAAGTAGGATCATACTGAATTATTTCACAACTTTTCTACTTAATGCATTTTAGATATCGTGTGCCTGTACACATATTTAATTTATTTTATTTTAAAAAACCACTGCCTAGGATTCTACTGCATGAATGTTCCATGGCTTATTAATTTTTCTACTGAGACTTATAGACTATACTAAAGAATCATTGTGATTGTGTGTTTCTCCAGTACAGATACCTTGCTGCAAATATATATATATATATATATATTAATTGTTCAGAAAGACATTAAGGAAAGGAGGGGTGCCCCATGACTCAAAGATTTCACAGTCGGTAATAATGAGGGCACTGTGGGCTGACTCTCAGCTGTACTCAAGGGAGACTGCTGGTGACGTGGACACACAGTTATGTGTGCCTAACTCACAGCTGCAGGCAGCACAGTAGCTCGTTTGACTCCAAGTCAAAACCACCAGGGTGTTGACACTGCTGTCTGCCGAGAAGGAAAGTCCTTTATTTGTTAACAGGAGGGATGGGGTGACCACAGTAGGCAGCCAGTAAAATGAAAACGGGATTGGTGCGAGCAGGCTGGAGGGATTCTGATTGGCAGATCTTTCTGTGGCAGTCCGTCAGAGGCAGAAGTCTGAGGTGGAGTGGTTTTGCTTCCTATGCCTGATGCGTTGTCTATTTTTCCAGTTGGCCGCCCAATCCCCGTTCATCAGACTCCGCACCCAACCCGGGAGCAGATTGAGGAGTTGCATCAGACCTATATGGAGGAGCTAAGAAAATTATTTGAGGAGCACAAAGGAAAGTATGGTATCCCAGAGCATGAAACTCTCACTTTTAGATGAGTGTAATTCTCGTAAGGTGTAAAGGAGGACAAGCAAGCATCATATTGATAAAAATATTTTAAATAAGTTTTTTCTTTTGACTCTGGAATCAAATTTGCATCTGAGAAATATTATTTATGGTAGCAGGTGTTGATGTTTTCTCTATGATAAATAAAAATATGGTAGATGATTATAGGATAACTGTAGGACTTTAAATAATATTCTTTCTTTAGGAAGTCTAAATCATTTTATAGGTTATGAAGAGGTTTAGATTTACTCATAGACTACAAAAATTGACAGCTTCAAAAAATAACTAGACCCTTTTACTAAACATAGCAATAATTGAAGATAGTGTTTTCACCAAGTATGACAGCTGTTGTTCAACACAGCTGGAACATGTGTGAGACAGGGTGTAAAATAATTTGCCACATAGCATTGGAGCGAGAGGAGTTTTTTGGTTTGTTTGAACAGACCAGTTGCTGGTGAATCATGTTACTTTTCTTACTTAAATAATTTGATCCTTTCAGTCATGGCAACCAACACACTTTTGTACAATAGTGCAGAATGTTTGTGTCATTTTGGAAACAGAATGAGTCTGCCACATGGGAAACCATGTGGGCAAAGGACTGTTCCTTGACTTCTTTTCATGTTTAGAGATGTGTGCATTTGCTATAGCAAGGAAGTCTGTTTGGAAGACATAGTTTTACATGTGTTTTAGACAATGGAAATTCCAAAAGGTTTTCATAGCAGTAGAAAAAGTTTCCATTTTCTTCTCAAATGGCCTCTTCATTGTAAGACAGACTCTGAAGCAAAGCGTTCTCTCTAGGGAAAAGTGTCCAATTCACAGTTGACCTGGGTGTAAGTTTCCTCTGAACCTGAATGAGCAGGAACCTTGTCCTTGCTACTACTGTTGTCGCCGTAGTGCCGGGGTTAGTGCTGGGGTTCATGGCACTCAGGAAACAGTACATAAGTACTTCTTTAATGAACATAGTTGGGAACTGAATGTGCAAAATGTTGTCATACGTGAAGAATTTTTAAAGATATGTTCTACAGTGAAATCTGTTATAATCAAGGTCCACCTTAAGAAAGAGATGGTTTGCTCTGTCTGGTTGTCCTGCAGTGGTGTCAGCAGTGCTACAGACTGGCTCCTAGGAAGCAAGGCAGAGACCACTGAGTGCTAAGGGACCAGTCAGGCAGTAAGCACGCCTGGTCTCCAAAGATCTCCACGGCCAGGTGCTTGTTGCTATGCCTCCTCCACTCTAGGTCTTTGTGGGCAATGTCACAACTTGTTGGCAGTATGTCCAGTTTTTAAACATCAAGCCTTGGGCAAAACAAAGTCATGCCTTGCTTAAGACAATGTCTTACACAAAAGAAAGCCAGCCTTCTCTACGGTTCTATATGAAGATTTCTGGCCTGAATTCCTTTGAGTTCATACTAGTTGAGCAATCCAGGAACCCATTGGCCCTGTGACCTTGAAATAAGTTCAATTTTTATTTGTCAAAATGAGACCCTAGGTTATTATAAAACCCACAAATTTCATTCCTTTGGAGAAGTTTATGCTTGAACTTTCATGACTTCACAGAGGCATGAGTTTTAATCTCATCATTAGTAATGACGACCCAACATCAGCTGAATTAGCTAGCAAACAGTTAAAGTCATGTTTAGTAAAGGAAGAGAACTAAAAAATGAGAAAAAATTCAATCATGAGTTTATCTAGATTCTACCATTAAAAAAAAAAACTTTAATTTTGGCAAAAATAAAATGTTATTTTTCAGTACAGTTTATGGGGGAGCGGAAATTATCTCTTCACTTCTTAGAGTCTCCAAAGGTCTTAATCTAGCTTTGCCAAAAATCTTTTCATAGACTCATGAATTGTAATTTCCATAGAGTTCTACAGATTCCAAATGAATTTTTTGATATGAAGTTTTGCTACCACACAAATGTGGGTCATATAATATACTCAGTAGAGGGACTTGACAGATTTCCCCTGTTATAATAAAAATTTCCATCTACTATGTAATGACATATAAATTTTAAGTCATAAATCAAAACACTAATAATGACAAACTAACTCTACAGCCATGTAGGAGAAACTGGGCCTATTGCCTTGTGAAAATGTGCATGTGTGCTGCGTGGTTTAAACATTGCTTTCTCATTTCCCTCGCACACCAGGTATAGGCAAAGTCATTTTCTTTGTCTTGCAGATAGAAGTTTATGAAATTTTTGATAACCAGATAAATCTGTTATACTCAAGTGAAGGCTGTGGCTTCAATGTGTACAAAGGCTGTCTGGCTTGGCCTCTTTACCAAGGGAAACCACGGCAAGCGGTTCTAGGGGATTTAGTGCAAACCCTTTGCCACTGCTGTGAAAACAGTGCAAGTGTGTATACTGCAGGGATGATGGGTTAGAAGTGAAATCCCTGCTTTTAGGGAAGACGCATCACCGTCATGAGAAGCATGGAGGCGAAATCTATCCGCACCTTTGTGATTTTACATCTATTCCAAACTACCTCACTGGTGCAGATGGCCAAAGTTTGTGGTGAATATGAATCGGTGCTAATATTAGTCCTGTGTTTCCCTCTGACAAGAAACACTTGATGGAATTTGTTGACTTGTTTCTCCTCTCCCCCCAGTAGCCCAAGATATTTGTATTTTTTAACCAAAGTGATGCCACTTTGTGGGAATGGAGGATTTACTACAAATAGAATTTGTATATGTTTCTTAAGGGAGAAAAACAGGGCAACTTCTAAACTAACCAACCAATTTCTCTAGTTTCTCTAGGATGGCAAACACAGAAGCAATTCTTTCTATAGAGGGACTTCTTTAGTACTTTATATTTTGATCATTGTAGTTAATCCTTCCCAAGCACCTGCAGCTTGGTGCCTTGATATCTTATATGAAAAGGAGAACATTTATCTCAGCCTAGAGTTAACCTATGCGATGATGAGTTCTTTAACAGAAGAACCTGTGTCTTATTTGCATTTGGGTACTCACCCAAGCAGACCAGTTCCTAATGAATGGTTGAGGAACCAAACTGGAAGTTGGTTGGATCGTTTCTAAGTTTTAGAGCCAAGAGGGATTTCATAGCCTGTGTAGTTATTCCTTTTGCACATGAAGTGCTTGGACCCTAGTTTAATGAAAATTAAAAATGACTGTGTGTTCATATTCATTTGCCTTGATTAAACAGAAAGTACTAATATTCTGGGATGTTGATTAATAAACCCAATACTCTTCCTATAAAGCAGAAGTTTTAAAAAAGTAGAGCGTGATTGAAGCAATACACTTAAGGCAAGCGATTAAAAACTCCGAAGCAAGCTCTGTCTTTTGGTTATTGAGAAAATTTTTCTTGTTTGAAGCCAGAATACCACATTGTTGATTTTTTTTTCCTTTTGCAAGAGCTATTTTGGTTATGTGTCCTGGGAAAAGTCCAAGTTTTCAACAAGATTCACTACTAGAGCCATATGTATTGGAGCAGTGGATAAGGCCCAGTGCCTTTTTCCCAGGATGACCAACTGAACTGAAAAAGAATCTTCCCTTTAAACGGACAGTGATCATTAGCGCAAGCCAAAGCAATCCCATTGGTCACACAGAGGCAGGTAGAGCTTCTGTCACCTTAATGGCATCTGAGCCCTGAGTCCATTCTGACTCCAGCCTTGTCCATCTAGATTGCCTTTTTTTTTTTTTTTTTCTTTTTCTTTTACACAGCTCTTAGATTCAGACTAAGAATTATCTTGGGCTATTTTGAGAACAGAGATAAATCTGAAGTTCCCTGTATTCCCAGGGTCTGTGTAACTCTCCCATAGATCATTTCCAGGTCAGCTTGTAGCCTTAGAGCTTTCTAGTTGGATTCTAAGCCCTGTAGGATGGGCATGCAGTGATGCTGGGACAGTCGGAGAGCCTAACTTCCCCACTCTCTCCTCTCCTCTTTATTTCAGACAGTCCTTTAACCCCTGGTCTTCCAATAACTGAGTGGAGGGTCCTGGCTCACTTCTTCCTACATAAGTAGAGTAGGAGTAAATGGTCTCCATGGTGCTGTCTAGCTCTGTCTTTGCCTGGCCTGTTATCTATCATGATAATAACAATTATTTGGAGATGATCTATCTGATTACTTTGCCTTGGCATTGCTATCCTCGCTTGCTTCTATTCCTCCAGGAAATTCAATGAGCTGAAATGACCATTTCACTTTCTTGGTATGCAAAAAACACCAATTGCTACTGCAGTGTCTCCAGGATCACAATGACCTTTAGTTGTATGTTTCTAAGAAATAAATTCTCTAAATAGGAGAAATTTAACTTAAGAGTCCTCTTCCTTTATATCATTCAAAAATGTGGAATTATAGTTTATTATTAAAACATAGGAGGCCATGACACTTCTATATTTTCTATATTGTATGTTTTGTTGTGTGTGTGTGTTTAAACTGTCATTTTTAAGAGTTTTGCCCAATAAATGTGTTTTTCTGCCTGAGTGATACATGTGTGGGTGTGTTTTTTTTTTAAACTGGATGGAATGTTTTCTTTTTTCCACACCTTAGCAAGGCTGAAATAATTTAGACTTGGGCATGAAAATAGGCAAGAAAATTGCAGCAAAATGGTGAGCATTGCAAATTCTCATACTGGAGAGTCAGTGCTTTAAATCTTCTTGAGGGGGATAACGATAAAACACAAAGCAGAGGCAAGACTACTGAAGACTGCAGGTGTGCAGGATTGAAACTAGATCAGGAGCGGCAAGAGGAAACAGAATCAGAGCCTGTCTAATCCAGACATGTTCAAACGCTGGTAGGTAGGAACATGTGTGAATTACAGATGGAGTCAATGACTGCTAGTGGGCAGGGAAGATGAAGAGTGTTCTAAACTTAGAGTGCAGTGATGCTTCACAATGCTATCGATATGCTAAAAACCTGAACTCTATATTTCTTTTTTTTAACATTTATTTAGTAAATATAAATTTCCAAAGTATAGTTTATGGATTGCAATGGCTTTCCCCCTCATAACTTCCCTCCCACTCGCAACCATCCCATCTCTCACTCTCTCTCCCATCCCATTCTTCATCAAGATTCATTTTCAATTATCTTTATATACAGAAGATCAACTTAGTATATGCTAAGTAAAGATTTCAACAGTTTGCACCCACACAGAAACACAAAGTGGCAGAGCCCCAAAGTACTTGGGCCATCTTCTGCTGCTTTCCTACGCACATCAGCAGGAAGCTGGATCAGAAGTGGAGCCACCAGGACTCAAATCAGCACTCCCATATGAGATGCCAGCATTGCAAGTGCTGGCTTAACTGACTGCACCCCAACACCAAGTCAAGACTTTTTTTTTCAGTATTTTATGAATACTGTAACATAATAAATATTATCATGTAATATAGGCAATATTTTTCAGCTACCTATGGTATATCAAATATAGAGATGAATGCTTTCTGTACATTATGACAATTAGGTCTTAAAATAGTTCTAATAAGATAGCTATTAGTTTTATTTTATAGGAAGCTGGGATCAGTATGGTCTAGAACCTGGCCTGCTGGTGGGAGGTGGAGCTCGGACAAAATGCCAGATCCCCTGACCAGAACCCATGCGCTGGGTGTAGGATTCAGGACACCTGTGGCTCCTGAGTATCTCATACTCCCTGAGTAATTGCACGCTAACCGAGGAATCACACAATACTGGATAAGTAAGCACATACACTCCACTGAGTAACTGAGAGGGTGGGACATGAATATCAAGGTTGCTTATAGGTTCCTCTAGCTGTGATTCTGTTCTAAAGCCATTTTTTAAAAAAATTTATTTATTTATTTATTTATTTGAGAGGTAGAGTAACAGACAGTGAGAGAAAGACACAGAGAGAACGATCTTCCTTCTGCTGGTTCACTGCTCAGATGGCCGCACGGCTGGAGCTGCGCCGATCCGAAGCCAGGAGCCAGGAGCTTCTTCCCGGTCTCCCACGTGGGTGCAGGGGCCCAAGGACTTGGGCCATCTTCTTCCGCTTTCCCAGGCATAGCAGAGAGCTTGGATGAAAAGAGGAGCCGCCGAGACTTGAACCAGCACCCATATGGGAAGCCCAGCCCCCAAGCAGGGGATAACCTTCTGCCCACGGAACCCGGCCCCTAAAGCCATTTCTTTTTTTTTTTTTTTTTTGGCAGGCAGAGGGGACAGTGAGAGAGAGAGACAGAGAGAAAGGTCTTCCTTTGCCGTTGGTTCACCCTCCAATGGCCGCCGCGGCCGGCGCGCTGCGGCCGGCGCACTGCGCTGATCCGATGGCAGGAGCCAGGAGCCAGGTGCTTTTCCTGGTCTCCCATGGGGTGCAGGGCCCAAGCACCTGGGCCATCCTCCACTGCACTCCCTGGCCACAGCAGAGAGCTGGCCTGGAAGAGGGGCAACCGGGACAGAATCTGGTGCCCCGACCGGGACTGGAACCCGGTGTGCCGGCGCCGCAAGGCGGAGGATTAGCCTAGTAAGCCGCGGCGCCGGCTAAAGCCATTTCTGACCAGCCTTTGCTCCAAAACCACGGGGCACAGCATCCATCTCCAGCTCTGAGCAATCAGCTGCGGACTCTTTTCGTGTTGGCAGAATTTATGTTCCCCACTAAAACAACATAGCCGAGAACCTTCACAGACAAATATTTGTTGGCAAAAATTAAAGATTTAAACAGAACATCTGTTTGCTTAAAGGTCTTGATTTTTTTTCTTTTTTTTTCTTTTTTTGGTGTGTGTACGTCTATTACTACATAGAGCATTAGTTGGGGAAAGATCATTTTTCCGAAGTATATTTTTAAATTCATTTTGCTTCTTACATGTTTATATGCCTGTGTGTGTTTTTCTAAGTACCTTTTGATGTTTTTCTCCATAAGATGCTTGCCACATGTTCCAAATTTAAGAAGAAACTTCTGTTTGACATCTCCTTCCCTGCCTTCTCCACTTCCCCAACAACATCTTAGAAAATTCTAGATGGAAAAAATTTTACCTTTAGTTTAACATGGCCTTGACATTTTATGTGATGCTGAAATGAATGCTGTGATTTATCTTAGATTGGTTGATGATGTAAGAGCTGGATCATACCATTTGTAATTTCAAATTGACTTATCTTTAAAATAACATTGCATCTATGAATATAGAATTTTTAGTCATATTGAAGAATTTTAACAGGATCTTCAGAAGGATTTTCACATATATGTTTATACATTATATGTATAAGGGCTATGTATACTATGTTATATGACATATAGCAATAAATAATAGAGACAGGTATGGTATAGATATATACCTATTCATTAGTTTAATTGAAGTAACACACAAAGAAAATTTTAAATCACTGTGAATGAAAGCAAATGTGATTCCTTTGGGAACTAATTAGACTTTTAAAACTGAGTTTGATCTACATCGTGAGTAATACGAGTGTGCTTCAAAAAACTAATGGAAAACGGAATTGAAAGGTAAGCTTATTGAGAAGCAAAACGCTTTTGAAATTCATGCATATGAGCGGGGGGGGGGGTCTTCAAAAGTTCATGAAAACGTATATTACAGAAAAGCTATGCATGGATTTCTGATTTTTTAGCACCCAAATAAACTTACCTTGCAATTCCATTTTTCTGTGAATAACTCATATACTGTCGAATGACCATGGGATGTGACCCATTTTGCTGTTTCAACCCAGGACACAGCCACACCCTTGCTTTAACAGCACTTGGCTCTGGAGGTGGTGGGTACACTTCTCAGCCAGGGAAGACAGTGATGAGGAGTTCCCCCACGGGCCTCTCCTTTCCACCTTCTCCCGTGACAGTTTTCTCTGTACATGTGCTTCTTCTTTGTCCATAATCCAGGAAAAAGAAAAATAAAAGGAAGAGGACGGGAAAGGGGGAAGCTGAATTGTAGTAAGTAATTTATAAACCCCTGCTTGTTATCTCTTGGAGGTAAGGTCAGGGACCATGAAAGTAGGGAAGAGTTGAAAAGGAAGAGATGAGACTGTTCAAGGACAGAAGATGAGAAGAGGAAGACACCGCATCATCATACATTTTATAATAGACATTTTTATACATTCCATATTAACTAAAGACTCTTCCACACCCACGGGTTCCCAAAGGCCTTCATTTCCATCACAGATCTGGTGCTGCCTGAGTTGTCGTCTCATACAGGGTACCCCTGAGGGAAGGTGAGGCCCGTTGACCACCTCCCCACCCCAGTCTAAAGGAGTGACTCCTGCAGTGTAAACTTAAACTCTCTTAACCCTACCAGGCCTCTGTGATAAGGATCTTTGCAATTTTCCTGATTACTCCTGAGAATCTGCTGTTTCTAACCTAAAAAGTCAGACAGCTAAAAGTCTTGGATGGAAACGCAGACCCCATTTTCCCCCCAGTACTATGCCAAGTTGTCAGGTGATATGATCACAGCAAGTCCAAAGATCAAACAGTCATGTGAACACAGTATAGTCAGTCATGTTTGTTAGAATGTGCACCGGCAAGGTGACCTTTAGAACTATGTATTTGCACTGTTACTGTTGAGGGTTCTAGAAAACAAACCAGGATGATTTGACTACAGCTGCTGGGTTTGGATGCTGAGATGATAGAATTTCTACAAAGGTGTGTGCTCTCTTGGTCATTTGTGGCCAGAGAAAACACGTTGCGTAAGGCACTGCTGACACTGAACTTCTGAAGTCTGAAGCTCTTCCCACATCCTGTGGCCTGTCTTTACTCTGGGTTATTTTCCTTTCCAGATCTTGATAGGCTCAGAAGCTGCCCCAGGCCATGATTTCCAAGGAGAAACTTCTCTTCCCTCTGCCTGTGATTTCATTTTGCTCTGGGCTCTTGTTTTGTGAAACTTGGGGACACAGGGACTTCAGTCTGCTTCTCTATCTGGGGTGTGTAATGTGCTTTTTGCTAATTCCCTGAGTTCCATCAGAGATATGTCTCTGCCAGAATTATTTGGCCAGAATCTACTGAAGAATTATTTTCAGGTTTGTTTGTGGTTGTAGATTCAATTGGAATTTCCTGCATCTCCCAGCAATCCAGAGATTCTCCTGGAGGGACTGAGCCCCAGCTGCAAGGTGTGTTTCTTCCAGTAAATGCAAGAAATCTAAATGTGGCGTGGAGGAAGATGCTCAGGACCTGGTTCTGCTAAGCACGCGTGCGGTGACCTCTCAGTTTCAAGTTCCTGTTCACTCACAGTAATAAAATGATCTCTCCTATACAGAAGTTCGTTGAGTCATAGGATCCAGCAATCACTGATACTTCTACACCTTTGCTATGTTCATGAGCACATTTAATCTTGGAACACAGCTCTTAAACTCAATTTTACATCCCACCCACCCCAAGTACCTTTAGGTTGTGCTAAAGTTGAACTCTCTGCAGTTGGAATCTGGGGTTACATAACCACGATCAAATTCCTAAAGAAATAGAAAGTTTTCCAGGAGAAGCGTCTGTCTCAATGACTCTCCCAAGTAACCATCGTTGATTCTAGACTTAGAAAACCCATACT